TCTTCCTCCAGACTCTGGGTCCTTGATTTCCAAAGGAAATGCAGAACTTGCTTTCATCAGAAAACATAACTTTGGACCACTCAGCATCCGTCCAGTCCTTTTTGTCCTTGGCCCAGGCGAGACGCTTCTTGCGCTGTTTCTTGTTCAAGAGTGGCTTGACACACGGAATGCGACACCTGAATCCCATGTCTTTCATGAGTCTCCTCGTGGTGGTTCTTGAAGCGCTGACTCCAGCTGCAGTCCACTCTTTGTGGATCTCCCCCACATTTTTGAATGGGTTTGTCGTCACAATTCTCTGCAGGGTGCGGTTATCCCTAGAGCTTGTACACTTTTTTCTACCACATTTTTTCCGTCCCTTCGCCTGTCTGTTAATGTGCTTGGACACAGAGCTCTGCGAACAGCCAGCTTCTTTAGCAATCACCTTTTGTGTCTTGCCCTCCTTGTGCAAGGTGTCAATGATTGTCTTTTGGACAGCTGTTAAGTCAGAAGTCTTCCCCATGATTGTGGTGCCTTCAAAACAAGACTGAGGGACCTTTTAAAGGCCTTTGCAGGTGTTTTGAGTAAATCAGCTGATTAGAGTGGCAGCAGGTGTCTTCTATATTCAGCCTTTTCAGAATATTCTAATTTTTTGAGATACCAAATTTGGAGTTTTCATTAGTTGTCACTTATGAATATCAAATTTAAATGTAATGAACATTGGAAATACATTGGTCTGTGTGCATTGCATGAATATAATGTACAAGTTTCACGTTTTGAATGGAATTACTGAAATATTTTCAACCTTTTGATGATATTCTAATTTACTGGCCAGCACCTGTATTGAATCCAGATTTAAAAGGTTCACCTATAAAAACTTTCAGGCATTAAGTTTTTCTTTCAACAATAACTAAAGCTTTTTGAACTAACTTTACTTTAGTGTTACATCAGAAGAGATTTGATTTTAAGGCATTTACAATAAGAAGATAAATTGTTCAACATTTGTGTAAACAGAGCAACAACAGATTACTCAAGACCACAGCATCATATGTCACCAGTATCTGTTTCAACTTTCAATTCTTGTGTTATTTTCAGGAGATTATAAATAAACAAACTAGTCAACTAATCAAAGGAATAATAGTGTCACTGAAACTTCAAAATGTCTGTCACGCCAGCAGGAATTTTGGCAGCGAAGAATCCTGCTTTAGCAAAAGAAATAAAGCACATGTCAGAGAAGTGGTCAAAACGGACGAGAAAACTATGCAATCCGTGGCCATCTGAAGGCACTTTTGACGTAGTGGCGTGCGATAATTTGGAGTTGAGAATTCAGGATCATAAAGCAGATGGATCTAAGAAAAGACAGCAGAAAAGAGAAAAAGAAATTCAGATCCTGGACTTATTCAGGAATGAAGGAAAGATTTACAGACAGAACTTTAAACATGCCATTCTTAAAATGAAAGACAAATTGGACAAACCCCAGAAGGAAGTGAAGGCCCCCGGCAGATCCTGGATGCACTCCAAGTGCCACTGCTGTGCTGCCCACATCTCATTGATCACAGCTGTAAACAAGCCAGAGAAGAATAAAAGGCATTCGGTTCATTTTCAAAAGCAACGGTGTCTGTTTTAATAACAGTCATGTGAGGTTTTTCGTACCAGGTGACTTGAAGAGGCTGACTCCACTCTCATCCAGCCCGGCAGGACCCTTCAGTTCCTCGACAACATGCTGGATGAGCCTGAAAGTCTCCTGAGCCCCCAGACTGACCCTCCGCACGTGATGCTTCATTTGATCCTTGGAAATGAAAAGGCGCACAACGTCCTCATCCGTCAGACAGCTCATTGATGCGCTGTCTTTGGCTATGACTGCCCTGATGAGGAGATCCAGATCTGCACGGTTGTAGGCCAGCACTGCACCAGCCAGTGCAGACTTGAACACTGCATACTTCGAATGTGACTCTGTGCGTAGAGCTGCATCAAAGTGGTGGATCCAGTGAAAGATGTCCAGACGACCAACCATCCCACCGTCCACCCAGGGCCAGAACAAGGTCTCGACTGCCGTCGGACCGTGCTCCCTGCAACAGCCGCGGTCAACGTACATGATTTTGGGGACGGGTTGAGTCCCAATTGGTAAAATCATTAGACAGCATGGGATAAACTTCCACTGTTATGCTGACAATAGTTATATTTATCCATTAACCCTGATGAACCTTATCGGTTGGGTAGATTACAGGCTTGTCTTGAGGACATAAAAAATTGGATGACTCTAAACTTTTTGCTTTTAAATCAAGACAAGACGGAAGTTCTCAACTTTGGACCAGAAATTCAGAAAAGGAAATTGCTTAGCCAATCACCTGACCTGAATGGCATTACATTAATCTCCGAGAACAAAGTAAGGAACCTTGGTGTTATGTTTGACCAGGACATGTCATTCAAATCCCAGGTTAAACAGGTTTGCAGGATTTCCTTTTTCCACCTTCGGAATATTGCTAAGATTAGAAGCATCCTTTCCAGGAGTGATGCTGAAAAACTAGTTCATGCATTTATTACATCAAGACTGGATTACTGTTATTCATTACTCTCAGGAAGTCCACAGAATGTAGTTAAAAGTCTTCAGCTTGTCCAAAATGCTGCAGCTAGAGTTCTGATGAGAATTAAAAAGAGAGATCATATCTCTCCTGTCTTAGCTTCCCTACATTGGCTACCTGTTAAATTCAGAATAGATTTTAAGATCCTTCTTCTCACATATAAAGCTCTTAATAATCAAGCTCCATCATACATCAGTGATCTGATTGTTCCATACGTTCCTAACCGAGCACTTCGTTCTCAGACTGCAGGTTTACTGGTGGTTCCCAGGATATCTAAAATTAGGATGGGAGGCAGATCTTTTAGTCATCAGGCTCCTCTCCTGTGGAACCAGCTCCCAGCTTTAGTCCGTGAGGCAGACACTTGGTCTACTTTTAAGAATAGGCTTGAAACATTTTTATTTGATAGGGCCTATGGTTAAAATCTGATGTTAGCCTAAATCAGGACAAGTGGGGGAGTAGAGGGAGGTTGAGTGTACAGTCGGTAAAGATGGCTCTCCCTTGCCCTGCCTCCAACATGCCTCCATCTAAATAGGATAGATTATCCAGAGTTGTCTCTGTAGTTATGCTGCTATAGTCTTAGACTGCTGGAGGACACACTGACCACTTTCCACACTCTACTACTTTCTTCTACAATCTGCTCTTTAACTGTATTATTTTCTGCAATTTCAGCTGTTAACTTTATTTTCTCTCTAAGTGTTTTTCTCCCCAGAAGAAGCTACAACGATGTTCTGCTGAGCTGTGGTGGCCTCGTGGAGGGGGCTATCGTCTAGCACACTGCTGCTAACCACTTAAACATTCTCCCTCTCCTGACTTTTTGCTTTCCTTGACGTTGGATGTGCTACTACTAGTTTATCTGTTTAATTATAGATCCACTAGGATAAATGCAATAAAGTTTATCTCTCACCAAATAGAATATTTACTAAGACATCACAATATAACTATAGACACATTACTTTGTCTTTGTGTGTGTGTGTGTGTGTGTGTGTGTGTGTGTGTGTGTGTGTGTGTGTGTGTGTGTGTGTGTGTGTGTGTGTGTGTGTGTGTGTGTGTGTGTGTGTGTGTGTGTGTGTGTGTGTGTGTGTGTGTGTGTGTGTCTGCTCTGTCTTCTCGATCCCCAGTGAGTCGTGGAGGATGGCTGCTCATACTGAGCTGGGATTCTCTGGAGGTTTATTCCTGTTAAAAGGGAGTTCTCCTCTCCACTGTCGCTTTATGCTTGCTTAGTATGAGGATTGCTGTAAAGTCACTGACACTACTAGTCAGTGACTTGATGCAATTTGCTGGGTTCCTTATATAGGAAACATTATTTCTGATTGGTTTAACGAACTGACCTGAATTGGAAGGTTTATTATGTGAAGTGCCTCTTGTCGTGATTTGGCGCTATATAAATAAAATTGAGTTGAATTGAAAATGATTAAAATAAATTAAATAAAAACCAAAGATAACAAAAGTAACCAGTTACAGAATAGAAATGCAATTATTTTTACTGTTTTTTCCCTTGACTAAATAACATTTTAATTTAATTCCTTGTAATCTAATGTTTTAAATGATGGCCATATACTCTGTCTAGTGTCTATAAGGGATTTATATGTATTATTTGGTCAACTGGATGGAAACCAATGATGTAAGTATGGTAACTAAACCAAGCTTTTGATGGTAAGGATTTTCCGCCCTCTGGCGGACGAAAGCTGTTCCTTCAATAAAAAACATACAATCTAAAATGTTTACGTTTTTTCAGTTAGCGTAAACATTCTTTTTAAGTGAATAAACCTTTAAGCAAAGACTGAGGCGTCAATAGGCAACTGTGCAGTCACGATTAAATGTTTTTTCATAATTGAGTGTTTTTTTAAATAAGAATAAATACTTAAATATATATCAAAGTCGTTTAAGTTTGATGACTATGTTAAATTTTTATTTTCACTATAATTTTATTACTTTTTTAATATAACTACTATGGCTATATATACATGGACCACAATTTATTTACTTTTTAACTTTTTTTTCAAATACAAAAATATTAGATATTAGACAATGTTGTGCTGAAAAGGATGAGCATAACTTCTTAAATGAGATATTTCATAATCTGACTCTATTAGTCGAATACTATAAATGTTTTTTTATGATTTAATTTGAGTTTGAATTAGTTTAATTTAGTAAAAATCTAAATTAAAATTGGTGTTATAAACCTTGTTCTAATTTTCTCTCAACAAAACGTAAGCCTATTTTATATCTTAATGAAAAAAATGCTCAAGTGAAAGTGAAACTTAATCATAAATTTACAAGGTTTTCATACAAAACATATTTGAAAAGGTGCCTATTTTTCTTGTTTGATATATGGGTAATGTAGTCTCTTCACAAGATAAACGTTAGCTAAAAAGACAGATGAAAACTACAAGTACCAAGACAACGTAGCTTTCTTGCGCATGCTCAAATGATCAACATAATTATAAAAGGGTCCCTGGTTGTCGCTTCCTCTGTCTTGTTCGGTAAAAAAATCTTCTACCATCCGACTTTATAGTGCAATTATACAGATTAAATCGTGTCAAAAACGTTTAGTGTTGTAATCGTGTTCAATAATTGTGTAAAATTTATCAACAGAAGACGACGAGAGACTTAAAAATAGCATTTTTGTCTCCTGCTTGGATTCGCTACGGCGTTGAAATCAAGCTAACGCTAGTTAGCATTGACGGCACCGGGGCCCAGACCGGCAATTTATTTTGTCTTGAAGGATTTTAGAGCGTTTTATTCCATAAATATAAATCAGTGATGGCTTGTGGGGCTACCCTGAAAAGGACCCTGGACTTTGATCCGATAATGAGCCAGTCTTCCCCTAAAAGAAGGAGGTGTGCGCCGGTCATGTCGCCGGTATCATCACCGCAGAAATATCTGCGGATGGTGCCCTCGCCTTTTGGGGAGGTGTCGTCCAGACTCACCACAGGTAGGAACCAAAAATTGTAATTATTATTGTGTCAGTTTTCACTCAGAGCTGTGCATTTGGTAAATTGTCACTTGAATAATAAACCACAGCAAAGTGTTTGTTTTTAATTGTTAAATTTTTTTTTGTGTCAGCTTGAAATCAGGGTGGTGGTTACAGTTTAAAAACGGTGTTTAGTGTAAAGAGGCTTCGTGGTAACTGGGTTTGGTTTCAAGCTACCTGCCAGGGTCCAATTCCCCTAAATGCATCTCTTCATGCAAGCAGTACTTTTCTTTTTAAGGTGCCTGTTCATACGTGTTTTGTGTCTTTATTGTGTTCGTTTCAGAGCAAATTCTGCACAACATTAAGCAGGAGTACAAGCGTCTGCAGAAACGTCGACACCTGGACAGTGCTTTCCAGCAGGCAGAGGGCTGCTGTCCCGTGGAGCTGCAGAACATCCAGGCTGGATCTCCACTACCAGGTATTTACCTATTGCATGTAATGTAAATTGACTAAATATTGTTATAGTTTAAATCCAGAAAGTATTAGTTTGTGCTTACAAACCAATTGCTTAACCATAATATTGCTTTACTGTGTGAAATTTGGGTTTTCTAGCTGAGAATGTTTTGATTGTATTTGGAGGTTGTCTGGGGAGACTCAATGAAAAAGAAGAAAACATGTTTAATCTACAAACACGATGAAACATGTGGGTTTACACATTACATGTACTACTACATTGTCAGATATGCACATTTTTTACATGAATTTTCTGTTTTTATGCATTGGTCTAAATTAAGTTATGTGTGTTTAACACTATTATTACAGTTGTTATTTAACCTGTAAACCTGCTGTTTTCTTTTTGTGGTTTTACATTTTCAGTGTTTTTTTTTCTTTTGTTTCTTTTTTCCCAGATGGCCTTCCATACTTATGTGTTCGTCCAAAATGAAACCAAACATGTTTATTTCCTGTATTTCAGCTTCCTAATAAAGGAGAAATAAGTGGAAAACTTTTTTCAAATAAAGTTAAAGTCCCACTAGATTTGTTCTCCGCATTTGACCCATCCCCTGGGGGAGCGGTGAGGTGTAGCTGTGGCTGCGCTCGGGGACCATTTGGTGGTTTAACCACCCAATCCAACCCCATAATGCTGAGTGTCAAGCAAGGAGGCATTGGGTCCCATTTTTTAAGTCTTTGGTATGACCCGACTGGGATTTGAACCCCAATATCCCAGTCCCAGGGTGGAGACTCATACCACTAGGACACTGAGCTGGTGTTGAGATGTAATAAGGAATTCTCACTGGGAGTTTAGTCAGATATTTCTTGGAATTCTGAACTTTCTGCTTAGCTTTTTAAAACATTGTGATGCCACACGTTTATATTTTTTGTGAGGTTTAAACACTAAACTGTTTGACTTTCTCAACAGGCACATCCTTGGGTACCTCGTCTCCCTCCAGGAAAGAGCAGCCATTGTTTTCGCTCAGACAGGTCGGGATGATCTGTGAGAGACTACTGAAGGAACGGGACGACAAAATCCGTGAGGAGTATGATGAGATACTGACGACGAAGCTTGCTGGTGAGATATTTTCTTTTGTAGGGGTTTGATTATAATCTTTTCGGGCTTAATAAAAAACGTTTTCTTTTTCAGAGCAATATGATGCATTTGTCAAGTTCACACATGACCAGCTGATGCGAAGGTTCGGAGAGCAGCCAGCTAGTTGTAAGTATATTTAACAGCGTTTCACTCGTATTTTTATAAAATGTCTCCCCTAGTTAGGATGCGACAAAAGAAACAAACTAAAACAGAAGACATTTTTTTTCCACTTTCTGTTTTGATGTATCAAGCGGGCACAGCGTTTGAGTTTTAACTCTTTGTTTATTCATTGTTTCCTTCACAGATGTTTCGTGAGTTCCTGTCATCTGATTTTGAGGTTTACTCTTTGCTGCAAGTTACTCCGGGGACTCGTGGGTCTTACTCCTAGCTGTGCCATTTTGCCTCTATGTGGACTCACTGCCTCTGGCATCAGTTAGTGACATCAACATTTGCTGTTGCTCCCAGAGTTAGGAGGGTTTCCTGCTGCCAACATGTCATTGAGACTCTACCAGTGGCCTCTTAACTGCTGTTATTTATTTAGCTTCGTTCTGATGCCTTCATGAAAGGCTAAATACCGTCACACACTTGGCCTTCATGATTTACTTATTTTTATGATTAATTTTTGTGTGTGTGTGTGTGTGTGTGTAACAAGGAAGTTGGCTGTGCAGCTTTTCTACATGTACACTTTGTAAAGGGGATTGAACATTGATGAGTGGAAGAAGGCAGCTGGACTTTTAATAGCAGTTGTCTTGGCTTTTTTCTTTCAATTATTGTATAAATTCCACCAATGATTACTGCTTTTAGATTTGTACATTTGTATACACTGTATTTCTCTATTTTTCTTTTTACTTTGGCTTGATTTTTTTTTTCTTCTTTACTGCTCCAAGATGTTAAGACTTTTTGTTTGCTGTGGGTAAGAGGCTTTTGATTGATATAGTAATAAATTCTTGGCACTAACTTTAATTTCGCCATTATATATTATTCATTTTATTTATGTGTATGGTATATATATATACACACACACACACACACACACACATATATATATATATATATATATATATATATATATATATATATACAAAAATACACACGTGTGTATATATATATATATGTATATAAAATATATATGTGTATATGTATGTGTGTGAGTGTATATATATATATATATATATATATATATATATATATATATACATATACATACAGTATATACACAGACATATAAATATATACACATATATATACACACACACACGTGTATTTATTTATATATGTGTGAATATGTATATATGTATGTGTATATACACATGTGTATATATATATATATGTGTGTATATATACATATATATGTGTGTATATATACATACACATATATATGTATGTATATATACATACACATATATATGTGTATGTATATATACATACACATATATATGTATGTATATATACATACATATACAGTGGTGTGAAACTGTTTGCCCCCTTCCTGATTTCTTATTCTGTTGCATGTTTGTCACACAAAATGTTTCTGATCATCAAACACATTTAACCATTAGTCAAAGATAACACAAGTAAAAACAAAATGCAGTGTTGAAATGATGGTTTTTATTATTTAGGGAGAGAACAAAATTCAAACCTACATTGCCCCAATGTGTTTGATCATCAGAAACATTTTGTTTGTTGACAAAAGAACGAGAAATCAGGAAGGGGGCAAATAGTTTTTCACTCCACTGTATATGTATATACACATACTGTATATACAGGGATTGCAGAATTATTAGGCAAATGAGTATTTTGTCCACATCATCCTCTTCATGCATGTTCTCTTACTCCAAGCTGTATAGGCTCGAAAGCCTACTACCAATTAAGCATATTAGGTGATGTGCATCTCTGTAATGAGAAGGGGTGTGGTCTAATGACATCCACACCCTATATCAGGTGTGCATAATTATTAGGTAACTTCCTTTCCTTTGGCAAAATGTGTCAAAAGAAGGACTTGACAGGCTCAGAAAAGTTACAAATAATGAGATATCTTGCAGAGGGATGCAGCAGTCTTACAATTGCAAAGCTTCTGAAGCGTGATTATCGAACAATCAAGCGTTTCATTCAAAATAGTCAACAGGGTCGCAAGAAGCGTGTGGACAAACCAAGGTGCAAAATAACTGCCCATGAACTGAGAAAAGTCAAGCGTGCAGCTGCCAAGATGCCACTTGCCACCAGTTTGGCCATATTTCAGAGCTGCAACATCACTGGAGTGCCCAAAAGCACAAGGTGTGCAATACTCAGAGACATGGCCAAGGTAAGAAAGGCTGAAAGACGACCACCACTGAACAATACACACAAGCTGAAACGTCAAGACTGGGCCAAGAAATATCTCAAGACTGATTTTTTTAAGGTTTTGTGGACTGATGAAATGAGAGTGAGTCTTGATGGGCCTGATGGATGGGCCCGTGGCTGGATTGGTAAAGGGCAGAGTGCTCCAGTCCGACTCAGACGCCCGCAAGGTGGAGGTGGAGTACTGGTTTGAGCTGGTATCATCAAAGATGAGCTTGTGGGGCCTTTTCAGGTTGAGGATGGAGTCAAGCTCAACTCCCAGTCCTACTGCCAGTTTCTGGAAGACAACTTCTTCAAGCAGCGGTGCAGGAAGAAGTCTGCATCCTTCAAGAAAAACATGATTTTCATGCAGGACAATGCTCCATCACACGCGTCCAAGTACTCTACAGCGTGGCTGGCAAGAAAGGGTATAAAAGAGGAAAAACTAATGAAATGGCCTCCTTGTTCACCTGATCTGAACCCCATTGAGAACCTGTGGTCCGTCATCAAATGTGAGATTTACAAGGAGGGAAAACGGTACACCTCCCTGAACAGTGTCTGGGAGGCTGTGGTTGCTGCTGCACGCAATGTTGATGGTGAACAGATGAAAACACTGACAGAATCCATGGATGGCAGGCTTTTGAGTGTCCTTGCAAAGAAATATCAGTTACTGATTTGTTTTTGTATTGTTTTTGAATGTCAGAAATGTATATTTGTGAATGTGGGGATGTTATATTGGTTTCACTGGTAAAAATAAATTGAAATGGGTATATATTTGTTTTTTGCTAAGTTGCCTAATAATTATGCACAGTAATAGTCACCTGCACACACAGATATCCCCCTAAAGTAGCTAAAACTAAAAACAAACAAAAAACTTCCAAAAACATTCAGCTTTGATATTAATGAGTTTTTTGGGTTCATTGAGAACATGGTTGTTCAATAACAGCCTAATAATTCTGCACTCCCTGTACACACACACACACACACACACACACACACACATATATATATATATACACACACATATATATATATATATACACACACATATATATATATATATATATACACACATATATACACACATATATATATATATATATATATATATATATATATGTGTGTGTGTGTACATGTATTTGTATATACCAGTTTTCACTTGTTACTGCAGCACATACAACAGGTCAATGTATATACGCATAGGCAGTAAGCTAGTGTAACCTTCGACCACTAAAATCCACAAAAAAATGAAATACTTGGGTCCCAGAACTATGCAGCATACTGCAAGGGACACAGACATACTATGTAATTCTAGTATTGAGCCAGTATTGAACACATACTGAGTATATCATAATTTGTTATTGTGTACCAGGATAATGCCAGTACCAGTTAAATTGAGGAGTTACACACTCTAGCTGCAGAGGGGATGAATGACCTATGGTGGCGCTCAGTTTTACATCTGGGATATCTCAGTCTGCCACCAAATGAGCTGCCCATGGTCTCCACAGTGGGTGGGAGAGGTTTTCCAAGATGGAGGTCATCTTCTCCAGCATCCTATCACAGATCTCAACTGAATCCAGTGGGCAACTTGGAACCGAGCTAGCGTTGTTAACTAGCTTATTCGGTCTTCCTGTCTCAGTCAGAGCTGCCTGCACCCCAACAGACCACAGCAGAGTGAGAAAAGGATTTTAGCAGATTCAATTCAAGTTTATTTATATAGCGCCAAATCACGACAAGAGTCATTTCAAGGCAATTCACATAGTAAACTTTCCAATACAGGTCAGATGGGAATTAACTCTGAAGGACCTCAGCCTCCTCAGGAGGTGGAGGTGGCTTTGGCCCTTCTTATACAGAACATCAGTGTTGGACCAGTTCATTTTGCTGTTGAGGTGAACACCCAGATACTTAAAGGTATCCACTACCTTAATGTCTGCTCCCTGGATGTTTACTGGTGAGTGTTTCTCTGGAAGTCAATTAAGCAAAAAAATACCTGAAGAAAATTTAAAAGGTACCTGCCCGCTGGCACAAGATAGTGGCCACGTGCAATAGAGGCCAAATAATATTTGGGTGACGTTGAGGTAAAAAACCTAAAATTATTATATTAGGGTGATGTTGGGGTGAAAAGCCCAAAATTATGATATTTGAGTGACATTTGGGTGAAAAACCTAAAAAAGATATTTAAATGAAAATTCTAAAAACCATAGCAACCATATATCTCTTTTTTGGGGTTTTCACCCGAACATCACTCTAATTTTTAAATGAAAATTCTAAAAACCATAGCAACCATTAAAGTATTTCAAGATAAAATGCTTTCTTTGATTTTAAAAATAAAGCCTTCTTCGATTCTCTAAATAGAATAACTTCTTTGATATAGTTTCAGCTTTTATACAGATACCGCTAAGTGGGATTATCTTTGCCTGTTTGAGAGTAATAATCCAGATTGGATTAATTTTGACTGTTCTCCAGTGTGGGGGTTTGCTTTTCCTCACTCCTGATGCTCCATGCCTGGGAACTAACCTTTCCTTCCTCTACTGAGTCCTTATGGCCTCTGGTTTCTGCCAGGACACTGTGTCCTTGAAAAGGGGGGGATATGTAACATCCAGAAATGGTCAGTTTTCACCTGGATATTGACCTACATGCCACCAGTCATCTACAGACATAATTCCGTTCTCTAAAGTGGATTTTACATTCTATCTTCCAACTGATTCTGCAGTCCTTGTTGACATTTCAGGGGCAAACACAGCCTTCTTTTGATAAGACTGCAGGATTGCACACTCTCATGAGAGATGAACTTTTACAACTCATAAGTTAAATAATCATTAAATAAACATATGGTGGAATGAGCAAATGTTATATGAATAATAATATTGATGTTTGAATAATCTGTGCCTAATTCAATGAAGTTGAAATGAATTTTTAAATTACAATGAAACACTTTGATGTTATGATCAGTAATGTTTGGTTTAACAAGTGAATCATTATCTACACTCATACACAATGTTCATTAGAGATTAATTAAAGTTAACGTCACTGCACATAAATATTCTTTATCCACAGAACTAGAACATTCTCGTATCTGGAAAAGATTTGTGTTCTGAGGGTTGTTTGTTAACACCTCTTAACCTCTTTTGTCCTGATTGTCCATGTAATCAAATTATGGGAATATTAAAAGAGAACCACTTGCAGAGTGATCCAGTTAGTTTTTGAGAAGAAATCCGGAATGGCCACCGGAGAAAACTCTCTAACCACCGCATCTCTTGACAAGCTGTCAAAACCGGCTACACGCTACAGCGACACAGAAACTTGCTCTTTCAGCTACTCAGAAACAGCTGTTCTAGACGCAAACTAGTTCCATGGTTCCAACCTCTTGTTTCTAGTTGCTTCTCTGAACTGGAGTAGTCGGTGCTGCGGTTAATCTACTGAACCTCGGTGCCTAGAGGTCATCTGACTTTCCTGATCTCCGGATCCGCGAAGAGGGTCTCCAAAAAGGGTGAGGTAGACACAGCATGATTGCGTCTGATGTGGTTTTGATGAGAACCAACTTTGTTGGTTTAATGCAGACCAAATTCTTTTCACACCCAGAACTCAGTTTCTCCTAGATACAAGGTTCTGATAAACACAGCATTCAATCATCATACATCACATTC